TATTGGGCTGATATGTGACACTTTGCAGAGCTCAAGCCTCCCCCTTAATTGTTAATGGAATAGTCTACACTGTAACATCACTTTCAATGGATGTATTTAAAAAGACTTGTGAAGAAAACTAAACAAAATGTCAGTTACTGGGAATATTGGTTGCGTTTCATGGATTTTTTCAGCAGATAGACAAACACCCATGCAAAAGCAGAATGGAGTGTCAAATATACAAACACCCCTGCAATGCAGAATGGAATGTTCTTGTTGACTGTGAATTGTACAGGTGCCTGCTAGCTTTCTCCTTTCATACTAAATGATGCAATGCAGAAAATGATAAACAACTAGTGACACTATGTTGGCATAATGCCAAGTAATCCTGTATTGGCCCATCATATCAACAACACAGTAGTTAAATTATGGACTACACCATTATTGAGAGGGGTGAGCAGTGTTTATTTTCAGAAGGTTTATGAACTAGCTTTGACACCAGGTAAATTAAGATTATTTTTGGATTATTTAACAGGTTAATTCTATCTTCTACCTAATATTGGATTACCCTAATTTCAAATTGCATTTACATTCTAAGCGTACATAATTTTTCTAAAAAATAAATTTCATAGATTGTTAAACGAATATTAATAAATATTTAATTATAAAAAAGATCAGAAATGTACTATTTACATTCAGATATAGCGATTTTCAGATATTATTTGGGAAAAATTTGTTGATTTGCTTTTATTTGGTCCATAAGTTCAATAAATCCTGGATGGCTCCTAGTAATATCTATGGAAGTAGTTTAGTGAAATAACATCTAATAATATAAATTCATTATGTAGGACAGGTATTTTGCATGACCAAGAAGTTTAGGTTTATGTTTAGTGATGGTAATTAACTAGTTGTTAATCAGTCATTTATTGTTCTGTATAGTTCTATTTGCTTGCCTCATCCACCAAACGAAAGTAAATTACCAATTTAAAATATGGACGTTATTTACTTGGGACTGCCAAGCCAGATTTATGTTGGTACTCACAGATCAGGGATTAATGTAAAAATATTATTAGTCCCCGTTCGGACTTGTAATTCGGTCTCCGTCCGTCCATGTGTCTGTCCGGAGTCGTATCTCAGAATCCCTTGAACCGATTCTGTTCATTCTTTGCATGTGCCTAGTACTTTATGTGGGACATATGCACATGCAGTGGTTTAGCGATTCGATTCAAAATGGCCGACTGGCAGCCATCTTGTTTTTTGAAAATGTTGTATTTTGGACATGCTTTGTCAGTTTTCATTCAAACTTGGTACATAGATTATACATGTTAGGATACATGTCCATCACAATTTGTTTCACAATTGGATCAAAGATGGCCGACTGGCAGATATCTTGTTTTTTTGAAAATGTTGTATTTTGGACATGCTTTGTCAGTTTTTATTTAAATTTAGTACATAGATCATACATGTTAGGATACATGTCCCTGACTGTTCGTGAGTTCCTGAGTCTGTCTGTCCGTCCGTCCGTCCCTCCGTGCGTCAGTCTGTCCAGAGTCATATTTCAGAATCCTGTGGACTGATTCCGTTCATTCTTTGCATGTGCCTAGTACCTTATGTGGGACATATGCACATGCAGTGGTTTAGAGATTCGATTCAAAATGGCTGACTGGCATCTTGTTTTTTGTAAAATGTTGTATTTTGGACATGCTTTGTCAGTTGTCATTCAAACTTGGTACATAGATTATTCATGTTAGGATACATGTCCATGACGATTTATTTCGCAATTGGATCAAAGATTTTATGCGGTATCTTGTCAGTTTTCATTCAAATATGGCACATACATGTACGTTATACATGTTAGGATGCATGTCCATGACAATTTGTTTCAAAATCTTGTCAAGGATGGCTGAAAGACAGCCATCTGACTTTTTGGTCTTACTACTATATTTCCACAATTTATGTACCATTTTCATTCGGATTTGGCACATACATCATATACATATCAGTGTGTTTCATAATCAGATCAAAGATGGCCGAATAATGGCTGTTTTTATTTTTGGCCATATTACTACTACACGAAACACGTGTTTTGATGTAAATAAACTATCTGTTGTATACGCCACTTGGAACTCAAGTTTCAAGGACACGCTTGCGACAACCCCTACGCTTTAATATGACGAGCACAAAGAGAACTTTCAAACATTTAACGGGGACTGTGTCATTTTCAATGACTTGTTATACATGCGTTATACCCATCCTGGTGTTTTTTTTGATGTGGTCCCATAGGACATTGTTCATGTGAAACAGTGCTTCATACTGACCATTGTAGTTTAACTATGTTGATATTTATCAAGTATTCAGTATGTAAAATTCATTGTTTTGTCCTAGAATCAGTGAAAGTATTTGTGAATAGAAAAAACATGTAAATAAAAATGCATTACCATGCAGTTGTGAAAAAAATATTTACAAAATAAACAAATTCCTTCAGCCAATTCACATGGTAACGCCTATGCTTTTGAATTGTCAGAACAAACATATGCCAAATTTAGTTCATTTTTTAGTTAAATACCCTTATATCAGCATGTAACGTTTGTTTAATTCTATGTAAACTAATGCCACTTAAAAAATATTAAGTTCTAAGCAACAAAATGGATGATACAACTACAATGTTTACCTTTCCCGACATGGAAGGTAAAACATCTGCTGATACTCCTTTATCTACTCCCAAATGAAACCATTACCCACCCCAAATGGAACCAATACCCCCCAAATGGAACCAATCCCCATCCCCAAATGGAACCAATCCCCATCCCCAAATGGAACCAATACCCCCCAAATGGAACCAATCCCCATCCCCAAATGGAAACATTACCCACCCCAAATGGAA